CAAGGAATGCATCTGAAATTGTTAACTGCACACACTGCCATGTACTGTTCAAAGCATTACAGGAATGCATGATTCTGTTCACTATGCTGTAGTTACCTCAGGTGCAAGATATTCTGGAGTACCACAAAAGGTCTTCATGGTAGCTCCGTCTGTGATTCCCTCTTTACACAATCCAAAATCTGTGATCTTTATGTGTCCATCTTTATCTAGCATTAAGTTCTCCAGCTGGAAGAGAAAGAGATAGACAGAGAGGAGAGAACAAGAGTGAGTGAGTCAGCAGCAGACAATGCCACCGCTAACATGACGGCTACCACAGGCTTTTCACCAAGAGGCTGGTGCTCTTCTAATGCAGTCTGTGGTAGGATTTGAGCCTAGTCCTGGACTAATTCAGAAGCACTTTTAGTCAAAGACCGGGCTTAATCTGGGTCCAGGAAAACAGCCCATATTTCCTATTGTGAGAAATGTTAGTCTTGAGAATATACTTTCAATGTGAAGAGGTACGTGTAAAAGTATGGGTGAGTCAGGGAAATATCAGCCAGATTGTCAGTCCCATTTGTTAGACAGACAGGGAAGCAGCCTTTACCTTAAGGTCTCTGTAGACAACGTCCTGTGAGTGGAGGTACTCCAGCGCAGATACAATCTCTGCACCGTAGAACCGTGCCCTGTCTTCTGTGAACACGCGGTCCCGCGACAAGTGAAAGAACAGCTCTCCTCCGTTTGCATACTCCATCACAAAGCATAGCCGGTCATGTGTTTGGAATGCATATTTTAGTGTCTGTGTGTGTGGACGACACAGTCAGAATTAGTGACCACATTTGAATCAAGTGGCTGCTTGGTGAAATGTTGTAATCAGTATTCATTAAGGTTAGATGTCAGTTAGGAACTCACCGTTAAGAAGGGATGCCTCGTATTCTGAAGGACTCTACTTTCTGTTACCGTGTGTGCTACCTCATCCTGATGGAACACGTCACACAAAAACACACCATGAGGGACAGACATACAGGGAGGGGAAAAAGTATTTGATCCCCTGCTGATTTTGTAAGTTTGCCCACTGACAAAGAAATGATCAGTCTATAGTTTTAATGGTAGGTTTATTTGAACAGTGAGAGACAGAATAACAACAAAAAAATCCAGAAAAACACATGTCAAAAATGTTATAAATTGATTTGCATTTTAATGAGGGAAATAAGTATTTGACCCCCTCTCAATCAGAAAGATTTCTGGCTCCCAGGTGTCTTTTATACAGGTAACGAGCTGAGAGTAGGAGCACACTCTTAAAGGGAGTGCTCCTAATCTCAGCTTGTTACCAGTATAAAAGACACCTGTCCACAAAAGCAATCAATCAATCAGATTCCAAACTCTCCACCATGGCCAAGACCAAAGAGCTCTCCAAGGATGTCAGGGACAAGATTGTAGACCTACACAAGGCTGGAATGGGCTACAAGACCATCGCCAAGCAGCTTGGTGAGAAGGTGACAACAGTTGGTGCGATTATTCGCAAATGGAAGAAACACAAAATAACTGTCAATCTCCCTCGGCCTGGGGCTCCATGCAAGATCGCACCTCGTGGAGTTGCAATGATCATGAGAACGGTGAGGAATCAGCCCAGAACTACACGGGAGGATCTTGTCAATGATCTCAAGGCAGCTGGGACCATAGTCACCAAGAAAACAATTGGTAACACACTACGCCGTGAAGGACTGAAATCCTGCAGCGCCCGCAAGGTCCCCCAGCTCAAGAAAGCACATATACAGGCCTGTCTGAAGTTTGCCAATGAACATCTGAATGATTCAGAGGAGAACTGGGTGAAAGTGTTGTGGTCAGATGAGACCAAATTCGAGCTCTTTGGCATCAACTCAACTCACCGTGTTTGGAGGAGGAGGAGGAATGCTGCCTATGACCCCAAGAACACCACCCCCACCGTCAAACATGTAGGTGGAAACATTATGCTTTCGGGGTGTTTTTCTGCTAAGGGGACAGGACAACTTCATCGCATCAAAGGGACGATGGACGGGGCCATGTACCATCAAATCTTGGGTGAGAACCTCCTTCCCTCAGCCAGGGCATTGGAAATTGGTCGTGGATGGGTATTCCAGCATGACAATGACCCAAAACACACGGCCAAGGCAACAAAGGAGTGGCTCAAGAAGAAGCACATTAAGGGCCTGGAGTGGCCTAGCTAGTCTCCAGACCTTAATCCCATAGAACATCTGTGGAGGGAGCTGAAGGTTTGAGTTGCCAAACGTCAGCCTCAAAACCTTAATGACTTGGAGAAGATCTGCAAAGAGTGGGACAAAATCCCTCCTGAGATATGTGCAAACCTGGTGGCCAACTACAAGAAACGTCTGACCTCTGTGATTGCCAACAAGGGTTTTGCCACCAAGTACTAAGTCATGTTTTGTAGAGGGGTCAAATACTTATTTCCCTCATTAAAATGCAAATGAATTTATAACATTTTTGACATGCGTTTTTCCTGATTTTTGTTTTGTTTTTCTGTCTCTCACTGTTCAAATAAACATACCATTAAAATGTTAGAATGATCATGTCTTTGTCAGTGGGCAAACGTACAAAATCAGCAGGGGATCAAATACTTTTTTCTCCTCACTGTACACCCAGCAGTGCAGAGCTGGACTTGGACTTCTGAGCCATTCAAGAACCCACAATAGAACCAAGAAGTAACCGTGCACAAGTCGTGGTGTGGCTCACTTGGTAGAGGGTTGTGGGTTCGATTCCCACAGGGGACCAGTACGAACAAATATGAAAATGTATGCACTCACTACTGTAAGTCGCTCTGGATAACATTTACATTTTACATTTACATTTACGTCATTTAGCAGACGCTCTTATCCAGAGCGACTTACAGTTAGTGAATACATATTTTTTTTATACTGGCCCCCCGTGGGAATCGAACCCACAACCCTGGCGTTGCAAACGCCATGCTCTATCAACTGAGCTACATCCCTGCCGGCCATTCCCTCCCCTACCCTGGACAACGCTGGGCCAATTGTGCGCCGCCTATGAGTCTCCCGGTCGCGGCCGGCTGCGACAGAGCCTGGATTCGAACCAGGATCTCTAGTGGCACAGTTAGCACTGCGATGCAGTGCCTTAGACCACTGCGCCACTCAGGAGCTCGAGTGGATAACTGCCACTCAGGATAAGAGTGTCTGCTAAATTACTCAAATGTAAATGTAAATTGTCATCAAAACCATCAAACATTTTGTCGTGCGATTACTGTTCTAAAACATGTTCTAGGGTTTAAAATAATCAATACTGAAACCTTCAGATGAGGCTTGTGAGTGAATTAAACATGTTCAATTGCTTTCATTAGCTTATTCTCTCACTGCCCTGAGTTTTATCCATCTTGGAATGAAGAACATTTCCAATAACTTCATTTTCAGGATTCTAATTTCTCCTTAACTTTTTGCTTAAGGAGAAACATAAGAAATAGCGCAAGAACATTTCAAGAACATTTTTGAGGAATAGCAACTTTGCTTAACTTTCTTGTTAAGATCTATAGTTAAGGAAAAAAATGGCATTTAAGAAGAAACGTCTTCTTAAGAAGGTTTTGTGAATCTGGGACACTAGTCTGGCTGCATACAGAATGGTACCCTTTCCCCTATATAGTGCACCACTACTTTTAACCAGCGCCCTATGGGTCCTGGTCAAAAGTAGTGCACTTATAAGAAACCACTTTGGACGCCTCTGTCTGAGCGACTGTCATTTCCTTATATGCCAAATGGTCACCTTAGCGATGATGACTTCTTTCCTCAGGATCTTCATGGCGTAGTACATCCCTGTTGCCTTCTCCTTTACCAGGATCACCTTACCAAATGTCCCTTTCCCCAGCAGCTTCAGGTAGTCAAAGTCACTCATGGTCTGTTGGGGGGGAGACAAACACCATGAGGGTTCAGATCTCAGTCTTATTCGAGACAGTTTGGATGACAGGATTAATTTGACCATGACAATTACTGCGTATAAGTAATTAAGAGCTTACATAGACCTGCACAAAGGTTTTAGATGAAGAACGGGCAGAAAATAGAGCAGAAGACGCACACAATGACCCAGGTCACATAGGGAGATGGTAAACCAGCTGTGATGAGGTATGTTACTAAGGAGGAGATACTCAGAACTAGGATGCAGGGCTTGTGAGGGAAAACAGAGGACATGCGTTCAGGTTAGGCAGTATTCTGCTCACTGCTGAGGTTTTAGGCAATCGGAGGAAGACATGTTCATACTTATGTTAGGATTCTAAGTCCCTGACAGGTTTTGCTAGTTGGTAGGGGAACAGAGCGCATGACAGTTCAGCAGTTTGGAGGGAAAGAGACACTTTGACAGGTCTGTAGGATGTAAGTGAAGGAGGACACTGACAAGTGGCAGTTGTAGGGCATGACAGAACGTCTTTTAGTAGGGGGACAGTGGGACACTAGTCGCTAGGCTGGTAGGAAGACAGGTACACGACGGTTCTTAGGTTTGGTAGGACAGCGACACTGTAACAGTCGCTATTGGTTGGAACAAGAACTAGTCGCTATTGTAGGAACAAGCACTGACGGTCTGCTGGTGTAGAAGGCGACTGACATTCTAGTGTAGGCAAATGGTACACCTAGAAGGTCTGTAGTGGTAGGGAACGAGGACTCTTGACAGGTCGCTGTTGGAGAGGAAAAGGAGGACACTGACAGTCTGCTAGGTTGGTAGGGGAACGACAGAGCTGCTGGTGTAGGGAACAGGAGGACACTGACAGGTCTGTAGGTTGGTAGGGAAACAGGAGGACACTGCAGGTCTGCTAGGTTGTAGGGGACAGGAGGACACTGACAGGTCTGCTAGGTTGTAGGGGACAGGAGACACTGCAGTCTGCTAGGTGTAGGGACAGAGACACTGAGGCTAGTGTAGGGGGACACTGACGAGCTGCTAGGGTAGGGACAGAGGACATGACACTGTGGTGACAGGCCTGACAGGTCTGCTAGGTTGGTAGGGGAAACAGGATGACACTGACAGGTCTGCTAGGTTGGTAGGGGACAGGAGGACACTGACAGGTCTGCTAGGTTGGTAGGGGACAGGAGGACACTGACAGGTCTGCTAGGTTGGTAGGGGAACAGGAGGACACTGACAGGTCGGCTAGGTTGGTAGGGGGACACTGACAGAGCTGCTAGGTTGTTAGGGGGACAGGAGGACACTGACAGGTCGGCTAGGTTGGTAGGGAAACAGGAGGACACTGACAGGTCTGCTAGGTTGGTAGGGGACAGGAGGACACTGACAGGTCTGCTAGGTTGGTAGGGGAACAGGAGGACACTGACAGGTCGGCTAGGTTGGTAGGGGAACTGAGACACTGACAGGTTGTTAGGGGCAGGGGACACTGACAGTCTGCTAGGTTGGTAGGGGGACAGGAGGACACTGACAGGTCGGCTAGGTTGGTAGGGACAGGAGGACACTGACAGGTCTGCTAGGTTGGTAGGGGGAAACACTGACAGGTCTGCTAGGTTGTTAGGGGGAACAGGAGGACACTGACAGGTCGGCTAGGTTGGTAGGGGGACACGACGAGCTGGCTAGGTTGTGGTAGGAGGACACTGAAGGCTGCAAGGTTGTTAGGGGGACAGGAGGACACTGACAGGTCGCTAGGTTGGTAGGGAAACAGGAGGACACTGACAGGTCTGCTAGGTTGGTAGGGGACAGGAGGACACTGACAGGTCTGCTAGGTTGGTAGGGGGAGGCACTGACAGGCTGCTAGGTTGGTAGGGACAGGAGGACACTGACAGGTTGGCTAGGTTGGTAGGGGGACAGGAGGACACTGACAGGTCGGCTAGGTTGGTAGGGGGACACTGACAGAGCTGCAAGGTTGTTAGGGGGACAGGAGGACACTGACAGGTCTGCTAGGTTGGTAGGGGAACAGGAGGACACTGACAGGTCTGCTAGGTTGGTAGGGGGACAGGAGGACACTGACAGGTCTGCTAGGTTGGTAGGGGAACAGGAGGACACTGACAGGTCTGCTAGGTTGGTAGGGGAACAGGAGGACACTGACGGTCTGCTAGTTGGTAGCGAACAGAGGACCTGACAGGTCGCTAGGTTGGTAGGGGAACGGAGGACAACTGACAGTCTGCGAGGTTGGTAGGGGAAGCATGAGGACCACTGACAGTCTGCTAGGTTGGTAGGGGACAGGAGGACACTGAAAGGTCTGCTAGGTTGGTAGGGGACAGGAAGACACTGACAGGTTTGTAGGGGACAGGACAATTGACAGGTCTGCTAGGTTGGTAGGGGGACAGGAGGACACTGACCACCTTGTTGCGGGACTTGGACATGACCACCTCCATCTCCTCCATGCTGCTGCATCGCTGGGGATCCAAACGATTCCCATGGCGCCTCTTCCTCTCGCGTCTTCAGGCCGTTGGCAACCGCTTGGATCGCCCGCATCCATTCCTCCCTGGAAGGGGAGAGGGGGTTAAATGTAGATCACTTCAAGCCCAAAAGAGATGAATCTACATTGTCTGTGAGTGTGTGTGTGTGGATACGGTGGGGATGAGGGTGACTAGTGAGGTCACTAATTACAGACCTCTAATCCTGAAAGTTGGTGAAGTAAAAATAATACAACTTGGAGAAGGAGGGCATTGCCCAACTTACAAAGACAAAAAAAACATTTAACTTGTTGTCCCTGCCTCTGGACCTTTCCGTTCTCACCTTTCCTCGTTACTCTCCAGATGGAAGGTGCGCTCTATGACTGTGGTCCACTGTAGGCAGCGGATGACAAACGTGTTGGACCTGGGCCGTTCCGTCTTCATCAGCTGGCACTCTGCAGACAGGGAGTAATAGAGAGGTGTTGGAATGTGCTACTGAAGACATCCGGTGAATCTTAATAGTCTTCCATCCATTCCTCTCTTCCCATCTTCTCTACACCTCCTCAAAACATCAGCTTAAAAAGTGAGAAGAGGATTCAAGGAGAGGAAACACTTCTTCCTGCTGACGGACACAAGGAATCAAAGAGAAACTATTGAGAGAGAGACAATCTGTGTGCACCCGACCAGGCAACTCTAATCATCATCCAAGTACCACCAGACTCCAGTTGTCCCAGAAATGACAGAGACCAACCTGCCACAGAGAAGTTGTTGAGGGGTGGGAGGCTGTGGTCGGACGTCATCTCTGGCTTGTCCTTGTAGCCGATGAAGGAGCCATCACTCTTCAGGATGAAGTACCGCGGCCTCCACGTCTTAATGTACTCTCCTGCGGGGGGGGGGGGGTTAGAGGGATGGAAGAAGGGCATAAGAGAGGGGGAAGAGAGAGAGGGATGGAAGAGAGAGGGGATGGAAGAGAGAGGGATGGAAGAGAGAGGGGATGGAAGAGAGAGAGGGATGGAAGAGAAAGGGGAAGAGAGAGGGATGGAAGAGAGAGGGATGGAAGAGAGAGGGGGGAAGAGAGGCACATGAGCCATACATATTAGGGTTTATGTTTAACTAATTGTGAGTAAAGTGGACACAGAGTGTCCTAAAAAGCGTAACAGACACAGTGAGACAGCGACGAGTGAAGCTCAGCTCACCTCTCTTATGGAGCCAGCCCTCTCTGACCACACTGATGTCGTTCATGCTGGGGCTCAGGGTGGGTCACAGGGGAATTAGGGGGAAGGGGAGCTGTGACTGTTGGCGAAGGGCGTCAGATGTGTCTCTGACGAAAATGTCTCACAATGCCTGGGGGACAAAAAGAACACAAAGATACCAAGAAATTAGCCACAATTGAAAGAGGATCCACTTTCATTGTTAATTATTTAAAAAAATATATGAAAACAACTGAATACTCTTTAATGATGATCATGAAAACATTGCACCATGTAGGTGTATGACAATGGAAAATTAATGCCCGCATGACGATGACATAAATGTAACTTTTCCAAGATGTGTGTAATGTAAACTTGAAATTAGAGGCACAGTCAGATAGGAAAAACACTGTTACACTTTTTCCGTGCCCGGTTTCATTTAACAACCAGGTAAATAGGCCAGGGTTTTTACTGGATCAAAAAGGGGCTTAGGTGGTGGGCGTGGCAGGGGGCGTGGTCGGCCGTCGAGACAACGTTTTAGAGGCCCCCATCTTGGCGCTGCAGATACATTTTGGCATTTTAAAGACAATTTCCTGCAATTCTACAAATTTCTAAAATTTCCTGCAATTCTATGCATTTTGCCATGGATAATGCAGTGTTCTTTTGCTCAAACATAACAAAATGAATACTGCTAAATTACTTGGTTTTTGGAATGTTCTATTCTCCCTGTCTACCTTTTATTTTGGTGATTGTTAGTTCTCAAAGATGATCTGATTAAAAAATATATAGCTCCATTATCTTTTCTACATACTTATATATTTTGTTTTAGTCGTTTAAGTTTACACCTAGTGTTTTTCCATAACGAAAAGTAATGATAATACAAATAACTTGTTGGACGTAGGCGACCGAAAAACATACTTTGGCAGCCCACCCAAAGACTACAAAGACTACAAATCCCTGTAGGCTACTAGGTTCTGATTACCTCACCTGTACAACGGTAAAGTAAGGGATAGCACATACACTCTTAATGCAATTCTGACACTTTTTTCTTTTTAAATAATGGGAAATTTCAAGGTAACGGAATTATGTGGAGACTTTTCACTTTAAAATGTATGCCAAAAAAAAAAACATTCAACTCTATGCACAATGACTGCTTCGAACAATTTACATAGTAAATACATTTTCTAAACACACTTACTGGAAAAACTGTGCAGATGCAAAGTTTGGTAACAGAATTACAGTAAAATCTCCCTCAGTTTTATACAGTTAGCAAATGTTGTATCTGCACAGTTCTTCCTGTAAATGTGTTTTTGTAACATTTTCAGTGGAAATTGTTAAAAGTAGTCCATTGTGCATGGTTCTATTGTTTGTTAAACTTCTAAAGTAATGGTTTTTGTTAGGTATACATTTTAAAGTGAAAAATCGAAGTCTACGTAATTCTGTTACCATGGAATTGCCCTACTTCCACTGGAGAACTGCTGAGGATTGTAAACAGAAATGCAGCCTCTTAAGGCCTTCCTCAAAATAATCAGAATTAATGTAAGATAACTCAAGAAATCCGCCATTAATTTTGAGGTTTTTGCAGAGTAGATCTTAGTCTCACAATTTTACACCTAAATAGGATGTTTGGTACAGTATTTCTCAAGTGACAAAATGTGCATGAAAATGAGTCGTATATCGTTGAATGACAACACTTCATTGAAGAATCCCTACAGTTGACCAATCACCGATGAAGGGGTGTAGACTTCTGCTTGCCTCAAGTAAAAACCCTTGCCGAAGGCCAAAACGAACAAAAACGTCACAAAATGTTGTCATAAAATATGCACTAACTATTCCGAACTGTTTTGGATGGGAAGTATGCGGATGCCTTTACAGGTATGCGGATGTAAAGTGAGGAGAGCAAAATATTTGATCATCAAGGTTGACATGTTTGTCAATAAACTGACAAGTCTGTTGACTGACTCCCCTTTCTGGTCACCTCCTGGATGTGTGTATGTGAATCCTCATCACCAGACAATGTTGGGTCTGTGTCTGTTCTGCAGCCAGCTCTGCACAGTTAGAGCCCAGCAGCCACCGGTCGCAGCTTGCCCTGGCACAGGCTGGCAGCACTCCCGGTCACCATACTATCAAATATTTTTGTAGGTTAAAAGCTTATTTCCTGCAATTCTACACATTTTGTCATGGGGTGCAAAGAAATGTGTAAAGTTTTAAAGCCAATTTTATTGCAGTTCTCTACATTTTGCCATGTCTAATGTGTATTCCTGTGACATTCCAATTACAAAAAAAATTACAACAATATCTATGGGCTAAAAAACCTAAATAAAAAAACAGCTGACATGGGCTAGTTGATCTGGACATTTCAGACAAGTTATAAATAGCTCTATTGTACAGTGCATTCGGAAAGTATTCAGACCTCTTGACTTTTTCCACATTTTGTTTAGTTACAGCCTTATTCTAAAATAGATTAAATTGTTCTCCCCCCATCAATCTACACACAATACCCCATAAAAAAAATATATATATATATATATATATATTCAGACCCTTTACTCAGAACTTTGTTGAAGCACCTTTGGCAGCGATTACAGTCTTGAGTCTTCTTGGATATGACGCTACAAGCTTGGCACACCTGTATTTGGGGAGTTTCTCCCATTCTTCTCTGCAGATCATCTCAAGATCTGTCAGGTTGGATGGGGAGTATTACTGAAAAGCTACTTTCTCTCCAGAGATGTTCGATCGGGTTCAAGTCCGGGCTCTGGCTGGGCCACTCAAGGACATTGAGACTTGTCCCGAAATCACTCCTGCGTTGTCTTGGCTGTGTGCTTAGGGTTGTTGTCCTGTTGGAAGGTGAACCTTCACCCCAGTCGGTGGCCTTGAGCACTCTGGAGCAGGTTTTCATCAAGGATCTCTCTGTACTTTGCTCCGTTCATCTTTCCCTCGATCCTGACTAGTCTCCCAGTCCCTGCCACTGAAAAACATCCCCACAGCATGATGCTGCCACCATCATGCTTCACCGTAGGGATGGTCCCAGGTTTCCTCCAGACGTGACACTTGGCATTCAGACCAAAGAGTTCAATGTTGGTTTCATCAGACCAGAGAATGTTGTTTCTCATGGTCTGAGAGTCCTTTAGGTGCCTTTTACTGAAGAGTGGCTTCCGTCGGGCCACTCTACCATAAAGGCCTGATTGGTGGAGTGCTGCAGAGATGGTTGTCCTTCTGGAAGGTTCTCCAATCTCCACAGAGGAACTCTGGAGCTCTGTCAGAGTGACCATCGGGTTCTTGGTCATCTCCCTGAGTTTGAACGGGCAGCCAGCTCTAGGAAGAGTCTTGGTGGTCCCAAACTTCTTCCATTTAAGAATGATGGAGGCCACTGTGTTCTTGGGGACCTTCAATGCTGCAGAAATATTTTGGTACCCTTCCCCAGATCTGTGCATCGACACAATCCTGCCAAGGAGCTCTACAGACAATTCCTTCGACCTCATGGCTTGGTTTTTGCTCTGACATGCACTGTCAACTGTGGGACCTTAAATAGACAGGTGTATGCCTTTCCAAATCATGTCCAATCAATTGAATTTACCACAGGTGGACTCCAATCAAGTTGTAGAAACATCTCAAGGATGATCAATAGAAACAGGATACACCTGAGCTCAATTTCGAGTCTCATATCAAAGGGTATAAATACTTACGTAAATAAAGTATCTGTTTTTTATTTTTAATAAATGTGCAAACATTTCTAAAAACCTGTTTTCACTTTGTCATTATGGGGTATTGTGTGTAGAAAAAAGTATTTAATCAATTTTAGAATAAGGCTGTAACGTAACAAAATGTGTATGCATTTGTATGCAATGACTAACATGACCAGAGGAACTGATGACCCAATTTTGAAATTGCACCTTGTG